GAGCTGCACGAGAGCGCTCGGGCTTGGGTTGGCGGGCGCAAGCTGTGGGCTGGCGACGTCACCTCGCTGCGACGCAGCCGTGCGAAGGTCGGCTCGGAGGTCTTCGGCGAGCTGGTGGCCCGCAGCGCAGCCGCATCGAGCGAACGCCAGCGGGCGGGTGAGCGGCCCGCCGCGGCGGCGCCGGCGACGGGCGGCAGCCTCGTCTACGTCGTGCGCAGCTCACGGCGCTGGAGCCTCGCCCCGTCCTGTTTCGGCAACCCGTTCGCAGTGAGCCCGAGCTACTCCCGCGAGGACGCGGCGGCGCTGTTTGCTGGATGGCCGCGCGGCCAGCCCGAGCTGCTTCGCCACCTGGGGGACTTGCGTGGGGCCAAGCTGTTTGGCCACTGCAGTCAGTCCGAGACATGTCATGCAGATGTGCTGCTTGCAGAGCTGGCCAGACGGGATGCTACGTCCTGGCGTGATTCGGATGTCTCGCGTAGGCTGGTGACTAGTCTTGCGATGGCGTGCCACGGTGATGGTGCGAACCTTCGTTGTGACAGAAGCTCTGAGGAGCTCAGCAAAGTTTTCCTTCGGCAAGAGATTGATTCAGGTCTTTGGCAGTGGCGTAAGGTACGAGAGCTGGTGTGGGATCTCCCTGAACATATCCATGTGCTGGAGTGCCAGGGAGCGCTGATGATGATTCGATGGCGTGCTCAAGCTTTGGGCCGACAGCAGCGCGTCTTCCTGCACCTCCTCGACAGCTTGGTCAACATCGGTGCGCTCTCGAAGCACCGTCCCAGCAGCAGTCAGCTCAGCAAGGTTGTGCGCAGCTTCTCGGCCTGGGAGCTAGCGATGGGCGCGCGGGCGGTGTTCAGCTTCACCTCATCAGCTCGGAACCCCGCGGACGCGCCGTCGCGCCTGAAGCATGGGGAAGCAATCTAGCCCCGCCGACAGGCGCACAACCAGAGCTGGCCTGGGGAAGCTGCGGGATGCCCGGATCGGCGCTGCCGCTCTCGCCAGATATCGTCGGGCAGCCCAGCAGTTTGTTGACTACCTTAACGCCATGAATCTGCCGTTGCCGTTCAGTTGGGAAGATATGGATGTCACATTACAAGACTACCTTGAATACTTGTGGGCCGAAGGTGCCACTAAAGGTCAAGCTAACGATACACTGAGTGGAGTACAGCACCTGTTGAGGACGCGCCGGCAGTACCCAGGCGCGTGGAGATTGCCGTCAGTCTGGGGGCGCCTAGAGGTGCCGCAGCGTGCGCCACCGATGCCGCCGCTGGTGTGCAGCGCGCTCGCAGGCTGGGCGCTGGGCCGCGGAGAGATCGCCTTCGCCGCGACGATCCTCGCCGGCTTCCACCTCTGCCTTCGGACAGGCGAGGCTCTCGGCCTCTCCAGCGGCGTCATTCAGCTCAAGCCTTGCGGCAGAGGCGCGGTGTCGTTGCCCTGGACTAAGACAGCCTGTCAGAAGGGAGCACGAGAGACGGTGACGCTGGATGACCCGCTCGTAGGAGCAGTCGTCCATATGCAGCTGCAGCGTGACGGCCGTCTGTGGCCCTCGCCTCCTCGCGCCTTTCATCTGCTTTTTCGCATTGGCCTTCGAGAGATTGGCTGCGCGCATCTCGGCCTCGTCCCGCATAGTTTGCGTAGAGGCGGAGCTACGCACCAATATTTGTTCTCAGGCGACTTGCCTAAAGTGATGCTTCGAGGTCGTTGGAGCTCAATGAGGACAGCAAAGATTTATATTCAAGATGGGGCCGCAATTTTGGCCGAGATGCGATTTCAGCCTGCCACCCGTTCCTCGCTCCAGACCTTCACAGATACCAGGATTGCCCGTGTTCGGGCGTATTGTTGCAAATCACCTCGAATCTAGGCCAGTTGCGACTCTCCAGGGAGCTTGTGGGCGGCTTGCAGCCATATTTCGGAACACATTGGAGAGCTTTTTGGAGAGCTTTTCGGGTGTTCTTGGAGTGGAGAGCTTCTCTCGGGCTTCTGGGCACAGCGTGGTGCGAGTCTGCTCCCTCTCGAGGCCCACTTGGGACGGCGTTCAGACCCCGGTCGTTGGACGACGGTGGTACACTTGAGGTGTGATTCCTGCCGTGGCCTCGGGGTGAGTCTTGGGGCTCGCACATGCTGGTGCCGTTGTCTCGAGGCATTCGAAGCTCTGTCAACAGCTTTGGCCAACGAACAGAGGGAGTAAGAAGGGGCGAAGCCCAGAGTGAGTGATCAACGTGAGTTGTGGCTCCCCTTCATTCCCGATGAGCTACCGCTCTAACCCCCGCCTGCACACACATGAACACGTTTACGGTCAATGTGTGGGCGAAGGGGTAATGAGCGAACGTTGGCCGCATCAGAATGCATGGCAGCCTCTGTGGCCCGCCCACATCCGCCCTGTGCCATGCCGTCCAGGCATCTTCTCTGCCTGGCCGTTTTGCCTCGTTCAGCGTCTCGCGAGAGCTTCTCTCGGGCTTCTGGGCACAGCGCGGTGTGAGTCTGCTCCCTCTCGAGGCCCACTTGGGACCGCGTTCTGACCCCGGTCGTTGGACGACGGTGGTACACTTGAGGTGTGATTCCTGCCGTGGCCTCGGGGTGAGTCTTGGGGCTCGCACATGCTGGTGCCGTTGTCTCGAGGCATTCGAAGCTCTGTCAACAGCTTTGGCCAACGAATAGAGGGAGTGAGAAGGGGCGAAGCCCAGAGTGAGTGATCAACGTGAGTTGTGGCTCCCCTTTATTCCCGATGAGCTACCGCTCTAACCCCCGCTGGCACACACATATATACGTACACGTACTTGCATGTGTGCATGTGGGTGTATATGTAGATGTATACGTATGGTTGTATGTATGTAAGCATGTATGCATGTATGAATGTATGTGTGCTTGTACATGAGTAAATACGTATGTATGTATGTGTGTACGTAAGTATGTATGCGTGTATGTATGTATGTATGTATGTGTATATTGTTTGTATACAGTCGCACGGCAGTTGGGTCCGCCTGGGGCGGCAGTCCGTTGGATCCCCCAGGGACGGTGGAAGATGGTCGCCAATGTATGCTTTGCAGCATCCAGGAAGGGCGAGGCTTGGTCGAGTCCGCGTCAGGCGGCAGCCCGCTGGACACCACGGGGGCGCAGGGAGGTGGTCACAGTTGTGCACCTGGCAGCGCGGGGTTTCGTTTGGCTTGCGTGGAGCGGTACGCCGCCAGATCCCCAGGGGCGCAAGAAGGTTGCCACAAGTGTGCGCCTGGCTATCCCACGGCTGCGTGGCGGGCGCCCTCTGTCTGGCATTTCCGAGTGCATGGTGGCGGTCTTCGGGCCACGTTTCTGGGGCTGAATCCCCGACCAGTATGTAGCACCCCGCAAGTGCGGGGTATGAGTGAGGAGGCGGCGGGGACGTCGGCGGCCTGCCAGGCTCCGAAAAAGCCCGCCGCAGGCGCCTAATTCTTACAGAGTGCACAACGAGTACAACGAGTCCGCCGCAGGCGCAGGTTTTCCCGTTAAGGCAATGTGGGTGGGTCGCGGGTGGGTTGTGGGTGGGTCGCGGGTGGGTCGCGGATGGGTCGCAAAATGGGTCGTGGGTGGATCGTTGGTGGGTCGCGGGTGGGTCGCGCGTGGGTCGTGGTGGGGTCGTGGATTGTGTCGCGGGTGGGACGACGACAACTTACAACGAAAAACAAACAACGCAGCAGCAAGAGCAATCCGCACCGCGAAATTTCGTTTCAGCCACGCGCCCAGGGATTGTGAATGACCATTTGGCCCCGTCACTCTGACAAGCGCTGCGCACGGTACGGTCAGCCCACCAGATAGGGAGCCGAGGACTCACTCTTTGACGATGAAGGGTCGACCGAAAGAGCTCAGACCCGAAGGCCTTCCCACCCTTTCCAGTCCAGCAAAGATCATGTGTTCGCCGTGCAGCGGCAGCGGTTGAAGGATCTCACGGAGCAGTAGAGCTTAAACTGGCCGCGCTGAAGACTAGCATCCCGCAGCCATTATGGTGGCTCGGGTTCGAGGACACGTGGTTGTTTCTTTTCATGCTAGCTTTGTGCATCTCGGGCTCCTCCTGCTCGATGGCAGCGCACTCGCGGTTCGCATGCGTTTGCTCCGATTTGGAGAACACATTGTGGGCCACGGGAGCAACCCTTGACCGTGCAAACGAAACATTGTCAAAAAGGTTCACACATCTCGGCTTATCGTTCGCCAAATTAGATGAGCACCAGAGCGCCAGAGGGTTGCTTGCGAGAAGTTTTTTGAAAAGAGCCATGGCTTCAGTTTTGTCGGGCAGCGCATCCACGAAATGGCGAGTCTTCCTGGAAGCCCCAGAATCGGCGCTCGAGGAGCAATGGGACTTCTGAATGGTGGGCAGAAACACCCCCGTGTTCTTTGAAGGGGTTGTCGAGACACTTCAGCGGCTACGTAGGGAATCCCTGGCATCGAGCCTGGCGCCGTCACGGACGGCAACGCGGACGTGTTCAGGATCCCGCAATAAAATGGCATGTTCGATTTTAGCGTTCGTGCCCAAGAGGTTGGCGCACCGAAGCCTGATTTCCGCATGTTCCAGGTGGCTGTCAAGGCATCTGGAGCGGAGGCAAGCGAGAAATTGTTGATCGGCGACGATTTCAAGAAGGACATTGTGGGCGCCAAGCGAGCAGGCATGGTTGCTTCTTGGGCGATGACGACTTCAGTTGTGCCAGACGGCAGCGATATGAAGCCGGACATCGTCGGCGAATCGGCGGTGGCGATCTAGTCCAGGTATGCAATCGCAGGACACTACGTAAAGACAAGTTGGAGAAATTAAGTCATGATGGCCGTGTCTGGCAGGGGAGCCAACATATTACAGTTCGTTCGCGCCACAATTTGTCTTGATTCGTTACCCCCAAAGGCTTATGATGTGCAGATGGCCCAGTAGGGCCGGTGGTGGTCAGAGCAGTTCAACGGCGACTGAAAATTGCACACTTTGCGGCAGAACACCCCCAGCAGCTATTTAGAGTACGAGACACAGCGCGACAGATAGTTCTGTGGCCATTTGGGCTCAAGCTATTTTGGTAGAGGCGTGCTCCAGTCAGGTCCACGCTCCGACAGCCCCCACGCGCCGCGCTCAAGCACCTGGACGGAGAGATGTACTCCAAGGAGCCACACCACTACCAGCCGTCGCGGGTCCAGGTGAAGAACACGTTCATTGACATCCCGGAGCAGGGCATCGACCACGATGACGGCATCGACCTCAACAAGCTCCGCGCCGACATGCTCCGGCGCCAGGTCTCGGACCCCGGCTCGACCTGCTTCGCCCGCCAGCTCTCCGGGGTGACCACTCCGCTGCCGCGGGCTCCAGAGGACGAGGTCGTGATGGAGCACGGCCACACGGGCGCCCTCCCGGGCGGCGACGCCGCGCCGCCAGAGTGCGCCCTCCTGGGCGGCGGCGCCGCGCCGCCAGAGGCGGATGGCTACCGCACGGACAGCTACGGCCCCCTGCACTTCAGCGGCCAAGCGCCGGCCAGCCACCAGGCGACCCCGCTGGCAGTCGCCGCGCACTGCGCGGGCAGGTCCGCCGCAGCGGTCGAGGCGCAGTCCGCCGGGTTGCCGCCCGAGTGGCGCGAGGCACGCACCGCCATGATGCGAAACCTGCCCAACAAGTACACCCAGCAGATGCTGCTCAACGAGCTCAACCAGTCTGGCTTCTACGGCACCTTCGACTTCCTCTACCTTCCGATAGATCCAGAGACGGGGGTCAACCGCGGGTATGCCTTCATTAATTTCATCCAGCCGTGCTTCGCGTGGACGTTCAAGCAGACGTACGAGGGGCGCAGGATGAGAAGCTTCAACTCCGGCAAGATCGTGGGCGTTATGCCCGCCGCCCTCCAGGGCTTCCAGGCAAACTATGACCACTACGCCACTGCCCGAGTGAATCGGGGGGACCCGTCCACCAGGCCGCTGTTCCTGCGCGAGCCCGACCCCTCGGACTCTGCGCCCGCGGCGGCCTCGCGCCGCGGCCGCAGGAGGCGCGGGGGCGGCGCCAGCGCGATCGACCTGGCGACGCGCCAGCAGCAGAGGCAGCGCGGCGCCACAGAGCGCCAGCATCGGGAAGAGCAGGAGGGAGGTCAGGCCGGCTGGCTGCAGGAGGACGAGGGCAGCGTCTGGGTCGACTCCCCGGCCGCCGCGGCCGCCCCCGGCGTGCCCGCAGAGGCCGCGCATCACGCGCGGGGGGCCACGCCGCCCGTCGAGGAGCCGCCCGACCGCAAGCAGTGGGCGGCGAACTTCTGCCCGCACTGCGGGGAGAAGGTGCAGGTGCACTTCCTATTCTGCAGCAACTGTGGCGGGAGCACTGCGATGCCCAATCATCAGCGGGCGAAGAACGGTATAAGATAACCGCCACCTCCCGATGATCAATTAAACCCCCTTACCACAGAGTGTTGATTGTCCACGGCCAATACAGCTTTGGTCTGGGAAGAGAGGCGGCAATGCCGAACTTTTCTATCGCGGGGGAAAGTTGCGAATCGAAGTTGCTTTCTTTTCACGTTGAGTAGCAAGGACTCCTAAGGATTCCGATTGATTTCCTCAGGAATCCTATGGATGTTCTCGGGAATACTATGGATCTCCAATCGATTCCGCTGAAATCTTAGTTCTTTAGGAATCCTATAGATCTCCAAAGGATTCCTATGGCTTTCCTCAGACGTCCTTTTGATTTCCCATGCAATCCTCTTCCTCCCCCTCATTGCGCGCCCAGCCCGAGCTTTTGTATCCCCGCTGTTTTCAATCCCCGCCAATGAGCCGCCATGGACTCCTCATGCGCTATTGAAGATGATGTGTTAAAAAAGAGTTGAGTTTCACACATAAAAATCCTTAGGTTCCGAATCAAAGTGTTTTGGGGAAACTGGTCCTGGGATTCCTCCTTCTCCTCCTCCTCACCCATGTCCTATGAATTTCCGCTGTAATTATACAGTTGCCGAAGGAGTCCTATGGATGTCCTAAGGAATCCCTTGGATCTCCTAAGGAATCCGATGGTTTTCGGAAGGAGCCGTATGGATGTATTCGGGAATCCTATGGTTTTCTTATGGGGGCCAGCTGATTGTCTTACAGAATCCGATGGTTTTCCTAAGCAAGCCGATGGATGTCCTAAGAAATCTGATGGATCTCCACTGGAAGCATATGGAATTCTAAAATAATCCGATGGATGTCCTAAGGAACCCGATGCATGTCCTAAGGATTTCTATGTCATGTCATCTTGATCAGCATCATCGTCATCATCTTCATCATTATGCTGAGATCGCCTCGAAAACGTTAATTATCCCCGCTGGTTAAACTTGTCCGCCGTCGGGGACGCCTGCCCCTGGGCGGCTGGAAAGTTTATACCCCTACGGTGCCACCGTCAGGGTATAACATTTCCAGCCGCCCTGGGACAGGCACCCCCAACAGCGGAAAAGTATATGTTATACCGTTCTTCGCCCGTTAAAATCAGCCGAACCCGCGCTGGATGGGCGAGGAGGTGGCGATGAACACCGCCGCGTCGCCCGCGACGATGTACTACATGGTCATGCCCAACTGCTACTCGGACGCCAGCCCGCCTAACTCTGGTCCCAACCAGACATGGTTGGCCGCTTGAGCCTGAGGCCGGCGCTTCGACTTAATGTTGGCCGGCGACCTTCCGCGTGTGCTTGCCAGGGAGAACGCAAGATTCGCGAGAGAGGGGAAGGTGGGTCAGGCGCGTGGAGCGCGTCCGGCAGAGAATACCCTTTTGGATAGCACTTATCTGGGAGGCCTCGCCGTGTTGGCAGGGTCCTACGTGAGTGCCCCTGCCGAGGTGCGGCGACGCAATCCGCCGCATAGCGCTAACACATTTTTGCCATGTGGGCCACTATGCATCAGCGCACGAACGACATTCAATCTACGACGAGCGCGTCTGTGGACGAGCGCACAGCACTGCGCAGCCGTGATGCTTGTTCTTGTGATTAGGGTGTTCTTTTCTGTGTCCTGGAAGGGCGGAGGCCCAGGGTTCTCTTTCAGAGGCTTACCTCCAGGGACGACTTGAAGAGGGCCAGCAAATTTCCGCTCGATCGAAAATTAAATAGAGTTTACTTCTTCGTGGAAAAGATACGTTTCGCGTGTGCCCGCTCCAAGAAAGTGGGCGGCCCATGTTGGCCCGCGATAAATAACATGGCCTGGTGACCTTCGTTTCCCCTCCTAAGAAACTGGGTGCGGAGCGTGTTTCGCAGAATCCTAAATGAATTACGTGGTCTGGAGACCCAGAAAAATCGACTTTTGGCGTGCCCGCTCGAGGATGGCGCGTCCTGCGTGCACGACTTCCGAGGATGCCTCTTGCGAGACACTCGTTTTGCAGAAGTTGATGAGCGGGGGCGCTCCAGGAGGCCGCCAGAAGCCCCCAGGAGGCCCCAAGAGGCTCCAGGAGGCTCCTGGGGGCTCAAGGAAGCTTCAGGAGGCCACAGGGAGCCCCAGGAGGCACCAGAAAGTTTCAGGAGGCCCCAGGAGACTTCAGAGAGTCCCAAGACGCTTCCGGGAGCGCGGAAGTGTTAGTATGTATCAGGGATCGTGGCCATGGGAGCGCGGACGCCGTGTCATTCACGACAGGTCCTGGTTTTGGGAGCGCGGACGCCGCGCAGTGTAGGCGGGATCTTGGCCCTGGGAGAGCGGACGCCTCGTGGTTTTCGATGGATCGCGGACGCAGCGTAGTTCACTATGTAATGTCTATGAAGTTCTTCCCCTCGGGTGCGGACACAGCGTAATCTACGAGGCATCTTGGCACTGGGAGGGCGAATCCCTTGTAATTTACAAGGGATCGTGGCCTTGTGCGCGCGGACGCAGCGTAATTTACGAGGGATCGTAGCCCAGGGAGAGCGGACGCAGGATAATTTTCGAGAGATCGAGGCCTTGGAAGCGCGGTCCCGTTTGAATGGCTTCGTTTATGGGTCGGTCGCAGAGAGGCAAATCGAGCTTTCTGAAATAGAAAAATTGGCTTGCCTGGTGGAGCAGGGAGGAGGAGGAGGTTGAGGGGGAGAGGCCCCATCGAGGCGTCTTGGAAAGCTCTTGGGCTCCTCTTGAAGCTCTCTTGGGTCATCTTTCAGGCTTCAGGGGGTAGGGAGGAGGAGGAAGAGGTGGATCATGATGAGGATGGAGATGATTATTATGATGACGAGTCTTGGTGATGATGTTGTTGCTGTTTCTGTTGCTGTTGTTGATGCTGTTGCTGATGATGATGGTGATGAGGAGGAGGAGGAGGAGGAGGAGGATGAGGATGAGGGTGAGGATGAGGATGAGGATGAGGGTGAGGATGAGGATGAGAATGTGGATGAGGATGTGGATGAGAATGAAGATGAGGATGAGGAAGAGGAAGAGAATGAGGCTGAGGTCGATGATGAGGATGAGGATGAGGATGAGGATGAGGATGAGGATGAGGATGATGAGGATGAGGATGAGGCTGATGATGATGATGATGATGATGATGATGACGATGATGATGACGATGATGATGATGATGATGATGATGATGATGATGATGATGATGATGATGATGATGATGATGATGATGATGATGATGATGGTGATGGTGATGATGATGATGATGATGATGATGATGATGATGATGATGATGATGCTGGTGGTGGTGATGATGATAAGGGCACTTTGGGATGCTTTTTAGCGCCTCTGTGACGTCTAGCGGGTGCTTCTTGGTGGGACGTGGAGCCCTCTTCGGTGTCTCGTAAACCAGCGTGGGGGCCTTGGTCGCGTCTCTAGGCTCTCTTCGGTCGTCATGGGAACCCTCTTCGAACCGCAATCTGGGGGAGAGTCTCATGAAGCGCCCGAAGGGCCATCTTCCAGCCGCATGGGGGAGGGTAGGGAGGAGGAGGAGGTAGAGGAGGGTAAGGATGAAGATGATGACGGCGATTATGATGATGACGGTTCTTACGCTGATGACGGAGATGCTACAGATGTTGATGATGACGTCTATGATGACGAGTGCAATGATGATGACGATGTTGCTTCCGATGTTGATGTTGGTTATGGTGATGATGGTGATGGTCACGATGAGGAGGAAGAGGAGGAGGAGGACTAACGAGGAGGAGGAGGATCATGATACGTAATTATATAGATGATGGTGATGATGATAATGATTCTGATGTGAGGGAGGAGGAAAAGGAGGAGGAGGAGGAGCAGGAAGGAGCGTTGACACCCGAGGCTCCCTCCTCCTCGTCCGTCCTTCTGGTGCTCGTCTCGACCCTCCCCTCGTTTCTGCCACTCCGCTCAAAGTGGGTCCCCGGACTTGTCCTGGGTTTCAGACGCGCCAGTTCTTCGAGCAACGTCCAGCCGCGGCAACGAGGAGGCCGCACCGCCAGTTCTCGGGTTGGTCGCCCACGGGATGGGATTTCTCCATGGGATGGGATTTCTCCTGTCGTGTGTGCGCCGAGCAGTTTTACGACCCATTCAAGTCGCAGCAGTTGAATGGGCCCGCTCAGGCCAGAGCAGTTTTACGACCTGATCAGTTCGGAGCAGTTTAACGACCTGGTCAGATTTGAGCAGTTTAACGAAACCCCCGAACGCCTCGACTCAGGAAGGAAATCCGGCCGTCGGGAAGCTTTCGGGACCTCGAGGGATCTCTGGGGGATAATCGCGGCCTGGACTGGCTTGGCTTGCACCTCGCGGCCTGGGTTGACCTGGCCTGACCGCGGCCTTGGCTGGCCTGGCCTCGCTCATCCAGGAACGATGCCGGCTGCGAGCCTGCCTCCGAGGCGGGTGGTGAGCACGTGTGCGTGTGAGCTTCCAGGAAGCGGAAGGCGCGGGGGCTGGAGGCGGCCGCCAGCCCGTCCAGAAACAGTGCCCTCAGCAGCCCATCGAGACACGAGGCCCACGACCACAGGAAAAACGACCACGGGGGAGCAGAGGGGGAAGACATGCTCAGAAACGGTTGCCCCAGCTCCCTCCCTGCTGCAAGAGACGGCCTGCGGGCGAGAGAACACGAGGGCCGGTCACGAAGGAGGAGCCGGCGGCTGGCGGCCTGCCCGCCAGGCGCCCGACGGACCCCCCGCGGCCTCCCGAGAGCTCCGGAGGGGGAGGCCGGAGGCCCCCGAGGCCCCGACAATTGCCCCAGGACCTGCTTGTCGCCCTGGCGTGCGAACGCTGGTGCGGGCTCTGCCTCTGCCTCGCCGCCGCCAGGAAAAGTCTGCCGCCTCGGGTCGATTTCTGATCGTTCCGGGGGTTCGGTGGGGGCCCTCGGAGGCCGAAAAGTGCCGAAAGCCGGCCGGAAGTCGGTTGCTCCGAAAACTCGGAAAAGTGTCGGAACTTGCTTTTCTGGGCCAGCGTTGCTTTCGGGCTATGTCTCGGGCCTCGGGTCGCCATTCGGGACGATTTCAAACCCCCGGACACAGAATTTCGTCGGGGAGCGAGGACGCAGCGTCATTTACAAGGGATCGTGACCTTGGCTGGGAGCGCGAGGTCCCCCAGGTCCTGACAATTTCCCAGTGCCTCTTTTTCACCTTGGGTCGATTTTCACCCTCGCTCTCCCTCCTCCTTCCCTCGTCCTCCTGGGGATGTTGGCCTTCGGATGGTGTGCACCCCTGCTAGAACTCACACGGCGCAGTGATTTCCGACGGCCCCGGGGCCCGAAAACGGCTTCCAGAGTCCGAAAACCTTAAATTTCTTCAAACTTCGATGTTCGAATTTCCCGCCTTCGGCGCCCCTCACCATGAAGGACGCGGGTCCAGAGGGAAAACGTTGTATATTTGTTTCGCCGTTCTCGGCAAGGGTCCTCAGGTTTTTCGCCGCTCGTTGCTTCCAGGGGCCCTCGGCGTCACGGGATTTCTTCACATAACTATCATTGACCCCCTCAGGGGTCCAGGGATCTCCCCTGATTGACCCCCTTGAGGTGGAGGACCCGTTCCCCTCAGGACCCGCTTGCTTCATGGGGAGGGCGGCGACGACGACGACGACGACGCTACGGTTGACCCTGGCTAGAGGCCGCCCTCCGCAGTTCTCCGCAACGCGGCCAACCCCTCGCGCCGTGTTTTTGCTCGCCCCTTTGGGGGATCGGGCACACCGGTCTTTGCTGCCCCGCGGAGGCCATAGTTCCAGAGCGTTCGGGGGCGTTCCGGCGCGGACGAACCGAGGGACAGCCTGCCAGGGGCCTTCAAGAGGGGGTTCGGCCTGATAACGGAGGATCCACGAGCTGGCCCAGGCCGGAAAAGGATCGTAAGGGGGGCCACCCCGCGGGGTTCCGGACGCCGCGGAGGCGTTGGCGGAGGAGCACCGCGGCGAGGCGCCGGACCTCGAGACGCACGTGAAGACTAAGTCTGGGTGGACACCTCGGAAGAGGTGGCGCGAGTGTTTCCACATGGCCCCAGGGTCCTCTCGGATGCAAACCTTGGAAAGTTCACGTCTGTCTCCCTCCACCGCCAAGCCGGCTTAAATTTTGAACCGGCTGCGAGGCTGAGGTGGCCCTAGATTATGGTTTTCGACGTGGCTTCTGTCTCTTGCCACTTGCTTTCTGTCTCTTCCCCCTTGTTTCCATCTTTGCAATTCCCCGTGGCCCAATTGAGATGTCACACGCCGTCAGTAATGCACCCGACGCGTCGCGTCGCATTGCCCGTCACCATCATGACGGTTGCCAGTGGCTCACGCTGCTCAAGCTGCGCGGCGCCGGAGCCGCTTGGCGTCTTTGCAATGGCGGCTTCGGCCGCGCAGCGTCCAGGCCACCTCGCGGGGCGCCCTGCGCGGCTCGATTGGACTTCGCGACGCCATGGCCCGCGGCGCCCAGGCTGCCGCGCTCGACGCCGGAGCGCGCGTCATCGGCGACGCGGCACGGCCGCGCGCGAGAAGTTCATGCTCGACTTGAACATTCAATAGCGCCTGCATGGCGTTTGCGCGGCCTTCCCCCTCGCCCGGTTCCTGGCGCGCTCGGCGCGCGACGGCTACGTGGCCAACCTGCGTTCCAGGGGCCTGCGCCAGATGACGCGGGCGCCCACTTGCGACTGGACGTTCGACGTCTGCGGCACATGGAAGAGATGATCACCCCAAGTACCAGCAAGGTTTCGCACCGCGCCGACATGTTCGCGCGCGGCCTCCTGCGCCACGTCACGAGCGGCGAGGCTCGGGTCGACCTGGCCAGCGGCGCCGGGGCCGCGATTTTGAGGAACAAGTCGATATGCAGCGCGACTGGACCCCGAACGATACCGACGTCTACGTCGCCGACGCTTACGACGCCGGCGCGTCGCGCCCGCCCAAGCGTCGATTAAGGAAGACGGCCCATCTCTACTGCGACTCCTCCTCCTCCTCCTCCTCCTCCTCCTCCTCCTCCTCCTCCCCCCCCTCCGCCGACGGCGACGACGACGACGACGACCTGTTCGCCACGGCCGAGGCGCCTGGCGCGGGCGCGGACAGCGGAGGCAGCGCAGACTCCCGCCGCGGCCGAGGCATTCGAGGAGCTCCGTGGCCCGATTATCCCACGGCGCGCCGGCGGCCGCCGCCCAGGCCACCGCGCGTCGCAGACGGTCGCGGCGTGCCCCTGGCTGCCCGAGGGATGTCCGCCCGAGCTCGGGCGTTTAATTCGCCCGATCAACGTCGCGCTCGCCCGGGCGCCAGGCCCTGCGTTGCAGGCGGTAGACTTGCCCGGACTCGTGCGGGATGGGTTTGACCCGATGCCCTGCGCGGCGAGCGCGCGCGCGGTCGGTGGCTTCTCGTACCGCCGCCCGCGCGCATCAGGCACTCTCGCCGCCGTTCAGACGCTCGAGCTCTTCTCCGGCAATGAGGCGATGCGCCGCCGCCAGTTGGAGGAGATCCAGAGGATGCCCCATCGTGCGAGGGAGTGCGTGAGCCGCGGCTCCACTTTCGCGAAGTCCCCCTGGGGCTCGCCCACGCCGGCTGGGAGACGCGCCAGCGCCGCGGCGGTCGGGCCGCGCCGCGCCTACTTCCCTGAAAAAGCCAGTTTGCCCGCGTCACTTTCAGAGAGCCGAGCCAGCCGAGCGCCGCGTCGGGGGGGCCCCTCCAGCGGCGCGCGGCCCCCGCGCGCGCCCCCTCACCAGCGCGCCCCCCACCGGCGGCGCCCAGCCCCGGCGCGTCTTCGCGCCGCCCGCAGACGCGCGTCTACGGCCCCAGCAAAGAAGTAGCCTCCTTCACGGCCTGCCCCCCCCCGCGGCCGCGCCCGGACATCGTGGACCTTCCCAGCCAAACACCGCGCCGGCAATGGTCCCCCGGCAAAGCTTTAATGCGAGACTTGTTCTGAAATCGGCGCCAAGAACCCCTGCCCCAAGGAACCGCCCCGGCGCGCCTCGCGCCCCCTGGCCCTCGCTTTCCGCCCCCACCCATCCTGCCCCACTGCAAACTCCACCCTTGGAACGGCCCGCGGCTCGAGTGAGAGTTCAGCTGTCAACAGTCATCGAGCGGCCCACGGATCGCTGCGAGCGACGCGGCCGCCAGGGCCTGCCAGCCGCCCGCACACGGACGCCGCGCCCTGGAGCGGATTCAGAAGCGGCGCCGCCCGAGGGCACCCTTGGGCCCGCCATCGGGGCCCCTTGGCGAGACCGATGGCTTCGCGCCCCCGCCCGATGATTATGTCGGCCACTCGATCAAGGAGCCGCAGATCAGTTCCTACCCGGACATGCAGTGAGACATCAGCACTACCTCCAACCGCACCCAGGCCCGTGGGACGAAAATATCGCTTTCGCTAGACAAGTTCTGGCATCCCACATCCCGACGCACGAGGGCGCGCCACCCCGCGGGGGACCTCCCGGGCGATCCGCTTCGAGGCGAGGTTATTGGAGCGCACGGACAGACTGGCCGAAGGGGCCCCCGTTGCCTTCCGCCCTGCACCCGCCCCGCCGGGGGCAGTTCCCTCCACGCAGTTAAACCGCCCTCCGAACCGCGGGCCCAACGCTGGCCCCGTCGCCCCCGCGATGAATTGATGCGCGGCGACGACTTCGACGAGACGTTCGATCGCCACTGCGTCAGCCCAGAGTTGTTGAATCGCGTGCACCCGCTCCCCCAGCACGCGGGCAGGCAGCTCTTCGCGTGGAAGTTCACGGACATCACCCCCGCGGCCCCTCGCCTGCTTCTCGCGCCGGCCAGGGGGGCAGTGAAGAGCTTCAACTTTGCCATAGTCGAAGCAGCCCCAATGTAGCTGCGCTGCCGGCCATGCGCCCAGGGGCTGGCGGCCTCGGGTCTGGCGACGGCGCGGCCCGCCGCGTTGCAGGCTTGCGCCGCTCATTTCGCCGCCGCGCTCCAGGCCCACGCCGCATCTACAGCGCCGGCGGTGGCGCGGTGTCGCGCTCGGCCCAGGCCTGCGCCACCTCTGCGGCCACGCTGCCGCGCCGCCGCGATCACTGGTCGCGATGCGCAGTGCCTGCTTCGCTTCACCTTGCACTGGCGCCTCAGCCGCAGCCATTCCTTGCGCGGCAAAGCCTGCGCGGGAGCGGCCCGGAGCCAAACTCATCACCATCCTGTGCCTCCGCCGTCGCGCCGTGGAACGCGCGCGCTGTCTGTTTGGGCAAGCCCGTTAGTTGCGCCCGAAAAAGGGGGCTTGCTCAGTCGCGCTTACGATTCCGAAGCGATGCTGAAGGCATGCCGAAGGCACTCTGAAGGTGCGTCGGACACACTCATTCCAGGCACGCCGAAGGAGCGCTGAATTGCACAAGGTTCCTGATTTGTTCCATTAGATACCCCATTGAAGGCACGCCGGAGGCACGATGGAAGCATGCGCGCCCAAACCGCTGAATGCACGATGAAGGAGCGCCGAATGCAAGCATAAACGAGGGGCGCGCCTTAGCGAAGCACCCTCGGTGAAGGCCTGGCTGAAGGCAACCCCCCTCGTCGCAGCGTTCACTTGCACTTGCGCATCTCGTTTTGCCCATGCTGGGATGGGGGGCTGCCGGGGGGGGCGCCGCGGAGAGCCGCGGAGGGGGGCCACTGACGGGGGCGAAAGGGGCTCCGAGCGGATTATGGCGGGGGCGCGTGCCGCCTTCCGTCGCAATAGCTGGCTTGAGCTTCATCGGCGAGAATCGGGGGCGATATCCGCGTCGACGTCGGCTCGAGCCGCCCGGGGCCAAGCCTGTTTAGAACCGACGCATGAACGTCCGTATAGTCACATTATTTGGCGCCGCAATCATCGAAAACGCCGTCTTTGATTTGGGCGATTTCATGCGGGATGTGCGCGGGCAAGTGGAAAGCAAACTGGACGGAACCCCTCGCGCGTCGACATCGGCAGCCGGCGATGCCCTCTTGCGGACCTCCCGCGTTGGCGCAGCAGGCATTGCTGATGAAGATACATGTATTGCCGTCGTGGTAAAGCCATTCGACACATACTCAACAATGCAGGCTTTCGCCGCCGCTGCGCCCGACGGCAGCGCCGGGGGGCCGCGCGCGCGGCGGAGACTGCAGCGCGGTCCGCGACCAGCTCCGCGACGTCAAACGCACCCACTCCACAACGATTGCTTTCGCCGCTGTCACGGGGGAAGGAAGCGCGGTCACGCGGGGGCGCGGCGAACGCAGCGGTCGCGGGCGCGAAGGCAGCGCGGTGACGCGGCTTGGTGATGGCGGCGAAGACAGCAGCGCCGTCCGCGATCAGTTCCGCGACATCTGGCACATCCACTCCATATGCGCAGCGTTCGCTGCTGTCAGAGACGATGGAAGCGCGGCGACATGGAGAAACCCCGCACACGGCGGAGACAGCAGCGCGATCCGTGACCAGCTCTACGGCGCAAGGCAATTCTATTCTACAGTTGGTGCACTCGCGGCTATCATAGGGAGAGGCGCGGCGACGTGGGGCGGCA